GAAGAATGGCAACAACTAATCCATGAGTGTACCGTGTCGCGCCAAGCCAGGATGCGTGCTGAGCGGTTGGAACAGATTCTCAGGGAAAAAGAGCCTCCGTGCACCCAGACCCAGAGATATCAGTGGCCTACTAAGCTCTTAATGCGCCCACAGTCTCAAGTAGCTGAAGTGAAGATGGTAAAGTTGCAAGAAAGGCCGAAACCATTGGACATGACGCTCAAGATCATTGGAAATTCAGCGGTCGTCATGAACACGGTCGCGAGAGGCCCCGAAGAATCTGAGACCGGTCCTGAGCCGGTAGAACAGGCCCATCCTGACTTGAGTCCAGAAGTTAAGACCCTCGATCCAGAGAGTGTGGCAGATGTCGAGAATGACGCTCAGGTCCCTGAACCGTCAGTGGATGTCCAGTCACAGACGAGCTATTCGACACCAGTCCAAAGGCTGGCGGCAGAATATGTTCGGGTGATGCGAGTCTCCGCCGAAGAACTGGACCTAGAGCCTGCTGTGTATCTCAGGGAAGGAAATGATTTGATGGCGCAGTTAAGAGACCAACTTATCATGCTCCCGGAAATTGAGCAATTGACCCCAGAATGTAACATCGACGAAGCTAATGTCGGGGTTCCGGGAGTCACAACTCCAGAGATGGAAGCCAAGATGAGAGGGATCCTGAAACGCCATCGCAGCATCTTCCTGGGAGATGGAAACGCAGCTCCAGCTCCGGCCAGGGGCGTAGTGTGTGATATCGACGTTGGAGAAGCAAAACCAGTGGCCTTACGTGCGAGACAGATTGCCGCACCGTTCTTGGTGAAAGTGTTTGAACTCTTGAAGAAATTGTTGGAGGCAGAGCTCATTGAGCACTCAGAGTCCGAGTGGTCCTCACCTATTGTGATTGTGCTGAAGAAAAACGGCATAGACATCCGGATGTGCATTGACTACCGACTTCTGAATCTGCCCATAAAGCTATCTCGCTATCCTCTACCTTTGATCGATGACCTACTGGTAGACTTCAAATCCGCGATGTCTCGACATGGCGAGTGGATTCTGGGCGGTGCGAATGACTGAACGTGCGAAGCTGATCTCTGCGTTCGTCTGCCCGTTCGGCCACTTTCAATGGCTCAGAATGCCCTTTCGATTGAAGAATGCGCCGTTGATTTATCAGAGTATCATCAACAATTGTCTGTGGGGATTCGTCCGTCCACCTCCTGAAGAGGAAGCGATGGTTGACTCAGAAGTTCTGGAGTTCCTGAA